GCCATTTTGGCCCAAAGCTGCAATCTTCGCGGTCGTCGATGGGTTCAGCGGGCCGACAGTAATCGGGGGCAGCCGCACGGGTGGAGGGTTCTTCCTCGATGGGGGAGCGTTCCCCTTCTTTTCGGCATCCAAGGGAGCCGCATTCGTCGACTTCCGGGTACTAGCCTTTCGGGCGACCTTAACAGCGGGTTCGGGGAGGGATGGTATGGAGAAGCTGCCAGTCGAATTGCTGTTGATGCTGCTAGCATCCGCTGCGAGGTTGGCTTTGCGCTTATCCAAAAACGATGCCTCCGTGGCTGACTGCTGTGGTGATTCGTACGCTTTCGGAATAGCAGGCACAGGTGGGACGTCCTCCTCGTCATCGGCGGAATGGGGGTTATGATTATGCGGGTTCGACGACTTTGGCGCCGGTAGCCGCGATGTAGTACCTCCTGCGACAGGCGCTCGAGGTTGAATTGAGCCTGTTGATGTCCTCACCGTATTGAAACTGTTGGTTGAGGTGATGGAAAGGCCGGAGCTGTACGATTTTCTGTTGATATCCGGGGTCGTCCGGGAGGACGATGGCGTGGCAGATGTCTTCCGGGGTATCATTGATGGCGACCGAGAGTGCTCTCGATGCTCGAGCGGCGGTGGTGGCGGCGCGTTGGCCGCCTGGTTGAGACTCGGAGTTTGGTGCATGGACATGCGCTTCAATCTTCGCGTGTCCGTAGGACTGATGGTCCTGGCACCAAGTCCGCTTGCGTGTGACGCATGCTGCCCCCCAGGCATCATAGACTGCCTTTTTGATTGGGCCGAACCGTTATTAGTTCCTTTGCTGCCGCCTCGAGGGGATCTCGGAGAAATCGTTGAAAGGCGGGTGGTGTCTGGTGTTGATAAGTTGGCAGTATTTGATCGGGGAAGTGGCTGGTGCATCGATTTGGCCTTCGTCGCTCTACTGTTGGCGAGATTCCGTGGAGTCTCAAAGCCCATGCCGGCACCGGCATCCATCGAGGTCCGAGAGAAATCCGTTCCACTGCCAACGGTGCCCATCAGGCTCGGCCTTCGACGTTGAGCAGTGTTACTGCCAAAGTCCGTTTCGATGACGCCCGAGCCGATGGATTTCCTGGGTGGCTTCGCAATGTTGGTGTTTGATACCGGAGGGTAGTGGCTTTGCCGTCGAGACCTCGCTGCGGCCGTTGACGCGTCTGCGGCGGACGAAGGCCCAGAAGCGATAGATGAGATGCTTGGTTGTCTGCTGGACGTGCTAGGTCTTCTCAAGATTGAACCAGATCTTCCAGGGCGAGTAACGGGAGGTGGGATTCCACCACGCGCAGACGCGCCATTCTGGGAGATGTTTGAGACCCCGCCCATCTTGTCGGCCATGCTCTCCGAGTCGAGAATACCACCTTGGCCGGTCGGGTTCGGAAATTGAGTCAATTTGAAGTCGTGTGAGGCCGACTCGAGACTGCTCTGGAGGTCGTCGAAGCTGACCGAGGGCAGAAAATCGTAGGAAGGTGTCGAGTCTGCTACTTCGTTCGCGGCGCCATTCCGTCCAAAAGAAAAAAGAGGGTGGTTGTTGGCTGAAGATGCACTGAGCATTGGACCGCCGGCGAATGAGCCCTTTGAGGGTGAGTTGGTTTGCGAGTCTGGGATTCCCCTATTACTGCAGCAATCATCGGGTCAGCTCTCTGTAAGGTAGTTATCCACCCAGGGATGCATGGGTCAGGGCATAACAAAGCGGCGTGAACAGCAACGAAGAAGCGAGGGCAAAGTTGAAAGGGGGAAGTGGGAATGGGAATTAGCATACAGTCTGGTCGGGGACTGGTTCGCCGGTCGTGGGCCAGCAGGTATTCTATGCTCCCTTATCATGTGTACGCGGTGCAACGGCCAGCGCGCAGATCATGCGAGCGTTGGACGTGATATGACGAGAAGGCGAGGGCGGCAGAATGTTTCGAGGGGGAGAATGTCGAAGCAAGTCGGGCTTGTCGACACAACGGCGCTGAAGGTCGGGTTCGCGATGCGATGCGGGCGAGCTCAGTCCTGTCAGGGAGCTGAGGGCATTGAAGAAGCTACCTCATTCCGGGACAATACTGGACAGGCACAGGACGACAAAGGGCGGATGATGGAAGGGTTGGCGGTGTTGGTTGGGGTGACAGAAGGGACAGGAATTTGAAGATGCGAGGATTGGCGTTGGTCGAAAGGAGGCGGGCACGGGAGGCGTAAACCACCAAACTCGGCCTACGGTAAGGTAGGAGTGAGGTTGGAGAGGGCTGGTGCAGAGATGAGAGGAGGAGGACGACGACGAGTACTGCGAATGGGCCGGACTCTCTCTTTCTGGCGGGCTGCGTGTGTCTACTGGTTGTTTTTGTTCGAGAAAGAAGGACCCGCCGCTTAAGTTGTCAGTGTGGTGGACAGTGGACTGGTGGTAGGCGGGCGAGCAGGTCACGACCAGGGTAGGTGGTGGAGCGTGCAGTGTGGATGGGGGATGGAGCCAGGAACGAGCACTAGAGAAGAGAGCACTGGAGCCTCTAGAGATTTTTGTCTTCTTTTTTGGCTCTTCCTCGTTGTTTCTTGAACCCCCCGTCAAAGTGGTACGAAGATGCGAATGAGAAGCGGTACATCAGTGTGGAGGAAAGACGGGCAGAGAAGTGGATTGTCATTTGAGATAGACGGTAGCAGAAGAGTGAGAAAGAGAGAGCAAGTAAGGTACTTCCTGGTTACCTGAGGTTAGCCCGAACGGGGGGAACTCTGGAGTAGGTACCTAGGTCTGGAGTGCGAGGTCACTCAGAGAGTCCCGTCCCTTTAGTTTATTGTTAAGGTATCGGTACCTTAGCTTATGGCGCAAAGGCACAAGATGCCCAAGGCAAGGTCAGGCACATACAAACAAACATGGAATACTATTCGTAGGTATAGAGTAGTAGTAGTAGTAATCATCGACCACCAGACACGTTCCGTCACCCAGTCCCGTCAGGTTGTCAGTTAGGTACGCAACTTCCGGCCATTCTCTGAGGGGAGGATCTGTCATGCACCTCGCGACTGACCTGAGGGGGCTTGCTAACATCTACGGCAGGCCGATGCGGCAGTAGTGCAGGAAACGGGACCAATGTTGGTAGACTAAGCGAGCACCAATGTCCAGTTGATTGAGGGGAGTCGAGAGAGTTTATCCGTGAGGTAAGGTAAGGTACCATGTGCGGTTCAGGAACATACACCACTTTGCATGCGCTACTCCGTGCAGCTGCAGCACATTTCCGCAGGACCGTTCTAGCGGCCAACCTTGGGCAAATGACGGGGGGGGGGGGGGACAGCCTGGAGAGGCGGGGTGGTGTGGAGAGTGCGGCGTGGGGGGCGAGCGAGGAGAGCACGCGGACGAGGCGCCGGCGGGGCGGGCGGCCAGCGTGTGGCGCGGGCGCGGGGGGGGGGCCGGATGGGGGGGGGGGGGGGGGGGGGGGGGGGAACATCCATCTGAATCGAAATGGGGGGAGAAAAACAAAAATGCGGCGGCGGGTGATGATGGAGTCCCTGGACCATGAATGCGAGCGAGGAAGAAAAAAAAAAAAGGGTGGTGGTCGGTGCAGTGCCCGCCGGCCCCTCACTCACATTTTGGCAAGAGCGAAAGAAAGGGAGGTCGGGGGACCGCTGCAACAGGGATCACCTGCTGATTGCACGAATTGCGCCAGTTGCTCATTAGACGCGTGTATCGATTAGTACCTTGCCTAAGACTTCGCCATCAAGAGGTACAGATGCTTCGTATCTTGAAATTAGGCAGGAAAGAGAGCACTGCTGGAGAAGTGTCTCTCTCCTTCTGTTGATGCTATCACCACTCAAGATTTTATTCCAAGAGGCAAGAGCAAGATACTCAAGGTACTCCATAGGATCTGCCTTACTTCGCAGGTACCCATGGCAGCGGGGCAGTTCGTACCTCACACCGCATTCTCAGGGAAGGAACTCTCAAAAAACCACCAGGTCGGTGTGATCAAATGATGGAACCCGTCAAGTCTAATAGCGTGCTTTGGGCCCCCTCCTATTCCCCAATTCCCCTCTTTCTTGGGCCCCTTGGACAATTGGCCGCTAAATAACCTCGACAAAGACAAAATGAGGCAAATCTCATGAACCAAGCGGATACCTTCCTGTGTACGGAGTACGGACTACGGAGTGCAGATACCTCGAATCCATCGCATTTCATTCTCTGCAGTCTCCAGATCATACGGTATACCTTGCGGATGCCAGTACCGAATACTCTATCGAGCAATTTAGCAACTCGGCACCATTTCCGTCCACCTACCGACCGACCCAAGTTTGTGGCTTGCCCTAAGTCTGAATACCCCGTACGGATACGCATTTCTTCCCGCTATCTCTACGAAGGTTCCAGAGAAACTCGGACCCTGGCCGTTGAAGCGCGATCTGCGGCAGCGGGTTCTCTCATTTACCCAAGATTCTGCTGTCCACCATTACGAGCAGCCAAATATCCAGACACTGATACAAATACCTACCATCCGTGCTTGCTTTGCATCTACGGAGTAGACTGAAGACAGATATACCAGTCTACTCGACCTCTCCAATAGGTACGAGGCGTCGGCTGCTAACATCATCTGGCATCCAATGTCGACGCCTCGCACGTATGGATAGCTTGGCTAGCATGGCTAGGTTGACATCAACTCTATTCGTGCTCTTTCCGTACAACCGAACAAGCACGACTCGCCCAGGTCCCAGCGACCCAGATCAAGTTTCGGGTTGTTGCAGCCATCGCACGCGTGTAAGCTTCGCGGGCGTCGTCCCTCAGTCAGCGACTTTCGCGTTGCTGCATCCCATCTTCTCGTCGCTCTCTGTCTTTACTCCGTCCGTAATTCGTTCCAAACTTTGCCGCGACTCGTCCCAAATTGAGGGGCATCCAACCGTCGAAAAGAGCTTCCCGCGTTTGTCAAGCTCGCTGCTATTTCGACGCGTCTCTCGTTCCCGTTTGGGGCTAATTGGGACACTGCCGCGCCCGCCATCACGGTCCAGCAGCAGTTCGGAGCTGCAAAGATGCGTCCCTGCGTCACCGCGGGCCGTTTGTTGTCCTCGTCGCCGCATCAACCAAGAGGAAGACCCTGGGGGGAAAAGTGACATGGGGGGTGACGGGTGAGGGTCAAGTGCCTCAACGCCCAAAAGCAAGATGCCCATCTGTCCAGTGGAATTTGGGGGTTCTGTGGCAAAACGGCCTGCTAGCCAGGATTCCGAATGCTTGGGGGTCCCGCCATATGCAATCTGCAACCTGCAATCCTCCTCTCCGCCGCCCGTCCTTGGAGGAACACCGGTCGGTATTCAACCACAGCCAACCAAGCCGTTTCCCGACCAGACGCCCGTCACGTAATTTGTCCGTTGTGGTCCTGTGCCGAGGATCGCAGGAAGTTCATCCCTCGTCTCCTAGGACGACCATCGACGAGCCCAATGCCAACGTCGACGGGAGTCAGCAGGGCTTCTCGCAATTATCAAATGCCTTCCTACCTGGATATCTTTCGGTATGGAGTAATTAGCCAACGTGGACTCATAGCATTGGGCGGGTCACTGTCACTGGCTGACAATGGCAAACCCAGCTTGTAATAATTGGCTCTGCATTCGGCCCCGAGCGGTGGCTTGTCTTACGGGATGGATTGATGATTTGCTTTTGCAACCAACGGTACGAATACCTGCCACTTGTCATTCGCAACAATTGGCCGACCTAACAGTCCAATGGAGGACGCTGGCAACCCATACATTCGCCGTGCGTCTGTGGACCTTGAACGCAAAGTTCGAAAATTGCTTCATGCAACTTCAGTCGGTCGGGCTCTTCGTAGACTCTTTTCGCTTGCAGATCAAAGCTGTCAGAGCAACTTCGGTTGCGGCCGACTATTGGGTACCAGAGGAATTTCAGGACAATCATATGAAGGGACATGATACATCAACACAAAACCGCATCGCCTTGGTTCCTGATGCAGACCATCATTTCGTGGGATATTGTTTTGCCCAGGCCAACGACCAATCACCGAACATGATCTCCGGGCCTCTGCGTTTGTTTTCTTAATAAGGTGCTGCTATAGTCCTTAACCACACCGCCTGCCTCATCGTCTCGCAGAACAGGGGCCCAGCAGATCTCTGTTTCGAACTCCCTCCGTCTGTAATGCGAGCCATCAAATTTGGGATCTACAGGGCACTGACATTCACAAACCAATTCGTCTTTGGTGATTCCGTCAGCAACAAGTCATCTCATGTGGACTTTGAGAGGTTTGGTGACTAGAGCGAGCAGAACCAATCGGCGATCCAAACCCAACTCATAAGTGAATCGCCTCACCTGAGCTATAGAATAAGGTTCGATCGAGTCGGCCAACCGTCAACGGAGCATTATCAAGCCTCGAAGCAGCCCGCTAGGCCGATGTCCATTATCGAAGCCTGAAAGTGGCTTTTCAAGACTACAGTTGAAGCTCTCGGGAAGAACCCCTGAGTCTTGACAAGCTCTCCAGCTCTTATTACGACTCACTACCCGATCATTGATCTACCCTAGGTGCTGCCTCTAAGTCAAAGGAAACACTAACCCTCTGGCTCCATTTCAGCCCCGAGCCCGGGCTGCGTCGAGTCCCCAGCTTCTGCGCCTAACGCCCGATAGTTAAGGATCAATCATCCCGCCCCTCGTGTACACAGATAGCGTGTACAGAAGTACAGTTATTACGGGCAGACGAGCAGAGTACGGTACGCTGGTCACCGCGCCGCCGATAGTCTTAGAGCTCAAGCTTGCCACAGGGCAGGTCAACCTTGCCCTGGATAACTTGGACTGGCATGCGATGGCAGAAACAAGACAGGGTCCGAGCTGATCAAGGGATGCATGCCTCCTTTTCTCTCTGGTGTACACTCTGGCATCTGGGTTGCCAATTGCCTTCTCTGCCCCATTCCGTCCGTCCCGTTTTCCGTTCTTCGGGCTTCCGAGCGGCGTCCACAACTCATCCTTTCTTCCTCTCCTTTGTTACAGCTGCAAATACACTCATGGGCTGATGATTCTAGAAGCACTGACCAACGCAGACGGCCAAAGTCATGGTCTAATCTCCCATATTCCCGTTTCATGGAGGCTCCTTCTTGGCCGGCAATCCATCGCCTTCAGTCCCAAGTTACTGATTCAAATATTTCATCCAACGTCAGGGGATCTTATCGAGTTGACCAAATGTTAGATCAGTTGACACTGAGAACAGCCAAAGTTTCGCACGAGGAGGCTTGCACCACTGGCAACCTCTATCGACGGGAGAGTTACTTCCTGGCTTCAAGAGCTGAAACAGCCGGCCAGAATAACTCGAACTTAGACTCATCCATCGCCATCGTGTGCCTAGGTACTCTGCGACTATTTGCTTTCTGTTGTGTAGACAGACGGCACGGAGACAAACGTCTCTCTATGAATGGGCCGATCCAACATTCCACTTTCCTCAGACAACTTCCTCACCGTCTATCCAGATCTCGTGGATATTACGACTTCTTATTGATCAGCCATAGCTAACCAATATCCGTCTCTGCGGCTCTTGGGTCTCCCCTTTCCATGGGCAATCGGCCAGACGGGTTTGGAGGAACGGGTGCGGGAGGCGTGGCCGTACAGGCAGAGACGCACACCAACAACTAAGCTCGTTGCCGCTGGATCGTAGACAATGTGGTCAAGCTCCAGTGGGTTTACTGTTCCTGCAAGACGAGGCCATTTCCAATGTGCGTTCTGATACGGGTAAGTGGTAGGGAAGGGATGGGGGCCATGGATGACATTTGCTGTGTGGCAGAAGCTTACTGGAGCATGTGATGGCTGCCACGGGCTCTGTGGATTGCGGTCTGTGGCCTGCTGGCATCGGACCCAGTTCCCCATGCTGCGGCCCAAATCACATGCAGTGGAGGCTTGCAGCTTGAGGGGAGCTTCCGCCGGTCCAGCCGGGCAGCTCCAATGACATTCCCCATGCACCGATCCACATCGTAACCTCAACGTCTCACACAGCTTCACAGCTTCCGGACATTTTGGACAAACTTAGCTCAAGCGCATCTGAGCTATCTACGCAGAAGACAAACACAGATCGCGTTACCACCCGTCTCATCATCCCCTTGCTTTTGCAGCGAACTGCACGCGCACCCACACTGCCAGGCGGCCGTCCGCTAAACGATGACGTGACCTCCCTTCAACGACCATCAACCCACCATCAAACGAAACAACCGCCGGCGCATCCTCTGCTACAACTACCACCACACACCCTGCGCAGAAGGTACGAACCATGGACGAGTATACGGCCGACCTCTTCATATCTCGCGACGATGCCTCGGATCATCAGCCCCATGCGCAGCCACCTCCGACTGTAGTGGTTGACGAGTGGCCTCACGATTCCGACGTCAGCGAGGGCACCCCGTCCAAGAAGTCTCCCTCCGGCCTGCGCTCGCGCATCGCGAATAACCTCAGCAAGAAGACGAGCATTCAAGATCGTCTAGTCGAGAGGTGAAGCCTACTTTCTCATAGCCACAACTCTATCTTCTTGAGAAAGAAACTGACGCTAACTGAACCGCTTCACCCAGGCTCCTCCAACAGGTCATCCCCGAGAGCTCTGATGGCCTCACAAGCGGCGGCGACGATCCCCTCGCCCCGGGCTTCTCCCCGGACAAGACGAGCACCTTTTCCGAGCGGCCCAACTTCAACATCACCACAATGTCCAACAATTTCCGTCGCTTCAACGCCCGCATCGGCGTCGTCTTCAAGTTCCAGGCCCGCGTCGTCCGCCTCCTCAGCTGGCGCCGCCCAACACACACCCTATCCCTCCTCGCCGTCTACACATTTGTCTGTCTGGACCCGTACCTCTTAACCGTCGTGCCCCTCGCCGGCTTCCTCCTCGCCGTCTTCATCCCTTCCTTCCTCGCCCGCCACCCGGCTCCGCCCTCCGGCACCCTATCCTCGGAGCAATCAGTCGGCTACTCCCCAAAAGGTCCGCCCCTCGCCCCCGCCCGGACTGTGAAGCCCGTCAAGGAGCTTAGCAAGGACTTCTTCCGCAACATGCGCGACCTTCAAAACTCAATGGACGACTTCTGCGTCGCCCACGACGGCGTTGTCGCCACCGTCCTCCCCATCACAAACTTCTCCAACGAGGCCCTCTCTTCGGCCCTCTTCCTCGCCCTCACCCTCACCACGGTCCTCATGACCACCTTCGCCTCCCTCCTCCCCTGGCGCCTCATCGCCCTCCTCGCAGGCTGGGCCGCCATCCTCTCGGGCCACCCGGCCATCGCCCCTCTGCTGACGCACACCCACGACACCCACGTCGCGCCCCACGAGGCCCAAGCCCGCTCCAGCGTGGACGCCTGGATCGCGGGCGACATCATTCTCGACTCGGCGCCCGAGACGCGCGAGGTCGAGATTTTCGAGCTCCAGCGCGCGTCCCACGATGAGTGGGAGCCCTGGCTCTTCTCACCCTCCCCCTACGACCCGCTCTCCCAGCCCCGCATCGCCGGCGATCGGCCCCGTGGCACGCGCTTCTTCGAGGACGTGTTACCGCCTGACGGGTGGGTTTGGTCCGAGAAGAAGTGGGCGCTGGACCTGTGGAGCAGGGAGTGGGTGGAGGAGCGCATCATTACGGGCGTCGAGGTCGAGACGGAGGGGGAGAGGTGGGTTTATGACATGTTTGATGAGAATAGTGCTGCTGGCGGCGGCTTCGGGGGCCCGGTGGACTCGTCGCCGACAACGATGGGGAAGGGGAAGGCGAGAGTTCCTAGCGCGCCGCTCTCGGGATGGGAGGAAGGGGAGGACGGGACGGGGAAGAGGGGGGAGTGGAGGCGGCGGAGGTGGGTTAGGCTTGTCAAGAGGCGGGCTACGATGAGTACTGCTTGAGGGGGTTAGATGAATGGATTGTATAGTATGGTGATGATAATGACTTGATATTTAATGGGCAGTCGCCTCCAACGTGACCCTCCGATATAAATGTGGACATGAGGTCCTCTCTAGATTTGAGACTGTACACTAGATCAGATGTGTCCCGCTCGTAGCTCGAGTGTTCTTGATGGAGTACCGGTCAACCCATCACAGCAGTTGTCGAGACGTTTTTTTGCAGTTCCAAAGTCGTTATCCTAGTGAAGTTACTCTACGAGTGTCTCTCGCCGTCCCGGGTCATCACCTGCAACCGACATACTCCTGTGTGGATAGTTGTTGAATCTTCTCTCCCGTTGCTTCTCTCCTATCTGCCGTCTCTCAGACCGAGTCTAAATGCAGCCCTATCCGGCATGCCAGCCGGTTTAAAAAAAAGGGTGTCGCCAAACCCCAACCAACACCATGAGAAAAGCTAGAAGAAACGTCCCCATCGTTCCATCTTTCGGATTAGGTATTTCCATCCGTCCAACTGCCTGACCTCGTCCCATCCATCCAAGTGTCCCTGAGATGAAATTGCCCATCCCATTGTTTTTTGGGAAGCAGTCTCCCGCCTCCAGAGAGAAATAGAAAAAAAGAACCAAAAGCCATCCGTCATCAAATCATGAAGTCGTATTCTTATCGGCGAGGACCATCTTGTCGAGAATCTTGTGCACGCCCTTGGTCAGCCCGCGGCCCTCGTCGATATCATCCGCAATCTTGCGCGCGCGGTCAATGAGCACGCCGACGACCTGCTTGGTATACTCGAAGCTCCCCGTGCTCTCCATGCGCGCGACGGCGAAGCGCTTGACCTCGACGTCGTTTGTCTTCTGCCCGAGGATGTTGATGAGCTGCAGGTTGGACGGGTCGGAGCGGATGCTGTGGATGATGGGGAAACTGAACTTGCCCTCGGTCAGGTCCTCGCACATTCCTTTATTGTCCGAGTACTCCTTGGACGAGAGGTTCATGTAGTCGTCGCGGATCTGGAAGATGAGGCCCATGAGGTTGACGAGCTCGGAGCAGTCCGTCAGGCTGCGGGACTCGGCCTGCATGAGCTTGATGCCCAGTCGGAAGAGGCCGCCCGTCTTGTTGCCGACCATTTCGAGGTAATCCTCCTCCGTCGGGCAGGTGAGGGTGTCGCGCCAGAAGAGGTCCATGCCCTGGCCGCGGTGAAGGTGGACGAGCTCTTCAGCAAAGATGGAGATTGTCTTTGGGTTCTTGAGGCGCTGGAGCTCCTGGAGGGCGCAGAAGTAAATGTAGTTTGCCGAGTTGATGGTCTGCGCTACGCCAAAGATGTTGTGGGCGACGGGGAGGCCGCGGCGGAGGGAGGACGAATCTTCCACGTCGTCGATGAGGAGGGAGGCCGTGTGCAGCATACCGACAACGTTTGTAATGACATCGATGCTGGCCTGGGGCACCTCGAGCCAGACGTTAAAGGCCTGGATGAGCTGGGCGCGGAAGTCCTTACCCGGGTGGGCAAAGAGGTAGTCAAAGGGGCCGGTGATGACCTTGTCCTTCTCCTCGGGCCAGGTCTTGCGGGTGAAGTTGAGGTCAGAGGTCGCGTAGCGCGAGGGGTCCGGGGGCGGGGGAGGCTGCATCGTGAGAGTGAAGGAGGTAGCTTGGTTGGTCCCCAGGGAAGGGCGGCGAGACCGGTGAGAAGAATGTGAGAGCGAGTGCTTGTGGGCGTGGGTTTGGCCGTGACCGTTATTGGTATTGGTGTGGTAGTTGGCGCGGGAGAGCCAGTCGGTCTCGGGAACGGTACGGAGGGGCCCTTTGGAGGTCGCGGGCATGGGCGCGGCCGCGTGGGCGGAGAGGGAGACGGGAGCGGCGGCGGCGGCGGAGTGGTGGCCGATGGAGGATTTGCGCGAGGGGATAACGTTTGGCGGGGAATGGGGAAACGAGGAAGAGGGGGTGTTGGCGGTATTTGTATTCGTAGGGTTTGAAGATTTGTCGGCTGCTTTGTTTGAAGGAGGAGAGGACGACGAGGTCGCCGACGGGTTATTAGGCACCATCGCGAAAGGGAGTCTTCTCCAAGGGACCGGCTGCCAGGGGAAGAAGCGTGGCTTCTTATGGAAGTCTGGTAGGGAGGACCCGGTTAAGGTCTCACTACCAGCACCAGCACCAGCACCAGCTGCAGAAGCTACAGCTGCGGGAGCTCCAGGTGTTGGCTCAAGCTCAACAGAGCTCGCGTGGGCTGGGGATGCTGCGTTGTGGAGCTCTGGCTGGTGGGTTGCGGTAGAATCGGTCAGCTGGCGCCGTTGCTGTAAGCCCGTGTAAACGTCACCACTTGCTCAGCCAAGGTGAGATTCTGCCCGGGGGTGAGGCATAACTCTGTGAGGTAAGGTAGGTTGTGAAATGGTGTGGTGGTGGATTGGATAGGAGCGGCATTGCGGCAGGCAGTTGATTGCTGCATATGCGAGTGCTTTTCTGCCCGTGTCTGTATTGGTCCGTAGACTATGTGCATGTGCTGTCTTTTTGGCGGGGAACAAAACGAGATGTAGACCGTCATGACTTTCTTGTGAATAGGGCCTTTTCTCCACCCATTGCTGCAAGGGAATAGGCGTAGGCAAGGATGGTGCGCAGACCGGAATAGCAAAGAGGATGAAAGGCCAAGCCAGGCCACTGAACCTTGCTTGGAAAGTCCTTGGTGGGAACGAAGATGGATGGTTGTGGCGGGTACCTGAAAAGTCCTAGACAGGCCTGCAGTGGACAATCAAGGAGAAGAAAGTATGGGAGAAAGCAACAAGGCAAAGTGAAGTTGCAGATGGACAATCACATGTCAATGGAAAGCAGTTTGCGCACCTTGAACATGCAGCAGGAGCAGCAACAGGAGCAACGATGGCAGCTGTGGAAGGTGCTGATGGAGCCTCAATTGCCCAGGGCAGAGCTCAGATCGTTTGCTGGAGCTCTTATCGATTGATGGTGGGGAGATAAGGCGGAAGGCAGTCGGGCTTATGTTGAGGCCGAAGGAAGGAAGACGTCATCCAAATTCGCGGCTGTTCCTTGGGGGGTCGGGACTCCGTCGATGCCGAGCTCCAAAAGGGCGGCCGCGGACTTTGATCCGGGTGGGTGGCCGGAGAATAAGCGGTGGGAGGAACAGCAGAGTGAAGACAAGGGACCGGATATCTCGGTGTAGTGATGACTCGTCTACCTGAGTCGTTGCTCTCCCGCCTGATTGATGTCGAACGGATGGAATTGGAGCGGAGAAAGGAAAAGGAAGAAGAGCAAACCGGGTGGGTGCTCGAAAAGAGAGAGGTTCGTGCGAAGTCTCCGTCTTAAGAATCGGCCGGAGCACGGAGGAGACACGGACACCACCCACCTCGAGCCAACGTGGAACTACCTTTTCTTAGGGAAACGGGCTTCTAGAAGAGGACGAGAGCGGGCCACTAACACATCACGGAGTACGGATACACACATACGTAGTAGTACCTTAAGTACGGAGTACTGCGTAGACACTAAGTGCTCGGATGTCACCCAGAATCCTCCTGATCTGCGTGCTTGTCGCCCGTCACTCTGTCACCCCTTGACCATGTGCTTCATCCTGCCAGACTAGCTACTGTGACTCGTGAGGCCTAGGTTGTTGCCGTGTGATAGACCGGCTTAAGAAGAAGTGATAGCAACAGGGCAGCAGCAGAGAGGCAGCTCGCTCCGAGTCGGAGCAACTCTAGACACTTGGATGTGCCATCCCCTCGCGTCTTCAGGTTTCATCAGCGTTAAGTGCCGGTCTTAAGCACCCGCATCGGCTGTGACAGGGCCGGCAGAGAAGTTTACCGTAAACTTGTGCCATTCGACGCCGCCTCTCTGCAGTAGCCAAGGCACGCGGCACACCGCACTTCGGGGTCACAGATCAGGGTCGATGTCAAAGCCTCGCTTATGTCCCATACTACTGTGTATCTCTGAACTTCCACAGCCTTGAACCCTGCTCGTTCTCTCCGAGTTCCCATGCATGGAGGACCAGGGAAAGAAAAGGGAGCTCATGCAAGAAGGGAAAACCCAAGATGCTTAGTTTGCCGGCCCGTGCCCCCCACAATGCCACCCAAAGAGCCAAAAATGCGCCAAACGCAGCCCAATGGCTCCCTGATGTCCCTGATGGGCCCCCCCTAATTGACCCGCTTAGCTAAGAAACGGTCATCAACCTGGCCAATCAGACACAGAATTTCCCCTTTCGGCAGCGCTACATCCCCATCCCAACATGCTGGATCGACCCGGTTGCCGGGGCAGTAATCGTCCAACGCAACACAAACAACCCGCATTGTCCACCAACATCGTCGCTTTCCACCGTCTGTTGTATCTGGACGCTACCGGGTAGTCGCTCTCATGAATGATCACCTGCGCATGCGCCCTCGCCATTGAACATCTTTTTATTTTTTGCCTTTTCCACCTCCCTCGATACGATTGTCGCGCAATTGCCATACGCCGCCCTTCTCCAGATCCCTAGAGGACTTGTCCTCGCCAGCCTTTCTTCTTCTCTTTTTCTGTATTAACAATATCCGACGGTGCTGCTGCTGCTGCTTTCCAGACTCGACTTCTGTCTCTATCCTTCCATCCGACACAACAGCATTCCATAGCCACCAAACCATCCACAAGTCGCATCACCGAGAATCGCATCGCATCGTCTCTTTTGTCTTTACCAAATTACGCCCGATACCCACGTCCTCCAATCAGGCCACAAAGTCACCGCCTGCTACAAGAGCTCATTCGCAACATAATACGCAATGGAGAACCTCCTCAGCCTCGCCTTCGACGGCCTCTCTTCCTATGACGGCCCCAAGATCCGCAAGGGCCTGCGCCAAGTCGAGGGTCTACTCGCCCAAATCTGCCTTTCAGCACCAGCCAAATCGAGGTCTCCCACACCGGACGATGATGCGTCCCACAGCGGTGGAAAGTCTCTGGCAGACTTGTCAGATGACCCGGCCTTCCGCGAATTCTTCAAGCTGCAAGAAGGATTCGAGTGGAACGTTGCCCTGCGCCTCATCAACACTCTCGACCGCCTGATGGGCAAGGGCACCGATGGACAGAATGACCTCCTCATCCTCAGCTCGTTGGATCTGATCCAGGGCGTCTTATTGCTGCACCCGCCCAGCAAGGCCCTCTTCTCACGGGAGCAGAACATGAACGTACGTTGTCTTTGACTCTTCCACCGTCATTGTCCAAAGCAGAGCACTAATTCCAATCTCGCAACAGCTCCTCCTCGACCTCCTCGAACCCGTAAACTGTCCCGCGATCCAGTCCGCCACCCTCCTCACTCTCGTCACCGCCCTCATTGACACCCCGACAAACACCCGAACCTTTGAGGCCCTCGATGGCCTCCTCACCGTCACCTCCCTCTTCAAATCCCGCTCCACCGCCCGCGAGGTCAAGCTCAAGCTCGTCGAGTTCCTCTACTTTTACCTCATGCCCGAGGTTCCCTCCATCCCCCGCGCCGACGTCCGCGCTTCTGTACCGGCCATCCACCAGCGCAGCCCAAGCAAGCTCGCCGGCGCCTTTGGCAGCGCGGCCTCCACGCCCGCCTCCACCGACTCAGGCCACGGCCGGAGCCGCGCCGGTAGCGAATCTGCCGACACCATGACGACCGAGGAGAAGCAGGAGCTGCTGGGCCGCCACCTGAGCAACGTCGAGGATCTCGTCAGGGACCTGCGGACGTGCACGCCCTTTGGTGGTGTCGTGTGCTAGCTTTCCTCGACAAGCGAAACTGCTCATGTCCGGTATTTGGTGTTTTCGGGTACGCATCATTCTAAGGAGTTGTACTCTTGTTCGCGAGCTCTAGTGTCTCCGTCAGTTGCATGGTTCATCTTGTTTGGCGTTCTCGTGGAGGGTACGATTACAGAGGTTTCACACATTTTGGGCGTCATCATTCATGGAAACGTAGGCGAGGAGTTTTGTTTACCATTTTTTTTCTCTCGTTTGTGGCCAAGGAAGGGGAGTTGCTCATTCCAAAAGTTTCCCTCTATCAGAATCGCATAATACGTATTGTCAAGTTGCGTCCCCTTGAGTATCGTAGAAGCATCAGGAAGAAGAGAAAGAAACGCGCGCATGTCTTTTTGATCGTTTATCAAGCTGTGTATCATTATCGTCGATTATCGTTTATACTCCGATTCACGGGGGTCGTCTCAGAAAGACTCGAGACTGATTATAGAAGACACCTCACTTTGAACAACACACCTCGCTCTGTCTGTCCATCCCAAGTCCTCCTATCTCTCCCTCTCCCTGTCGGAGGGAGCGGGACCCGGTGACCGATCAAACATGCTCACGCTCGCGATACTCCTCGGCGTCATCATCGACGGCGTCGGCACAATCGACGAGGGCGGCGCCCCAACGGACACGGGCGAAGCCATCTCGGACCCGTACAACTCGTACCGCCCCTGCGTCGTCTCCTCCTCGGACCCGGGCGTCTGCATCTCCCTCGGGCCCCCTTCACGCCCCTCCTCCGGCACGGAAGTCACGCTGTGGCCGTACCCGTGGCCGTGACCGTAACCGTACCCGTAGCCTCTCTTCTCACCCCCGGAGTCCCCAATCTCCACGGGCGCGACAACGTCATTGGGCGAATGCGCTTGGAGCGGCACGCCCCGTCCTCGACCAGGCGTCCCCGCCCTTCCCCCTCCGGCTCCGGCTCCGGCTCCCGAACCACTGCCCGGAGACAACCCGGTCTCGTCTGTCTCGGTATACGGCCCCGCAACGGCATCCGGACCAAAGTAATCCTGCGTCGCGCCGCGACTGGGCCCGTTCGGTCGGGACCCGGACGTGACGTCCGATAAAGCCCGTACCCCGCGACTAGGCCTCTCGCTCCCGACGCCAGAGACCCCTCCCCTTCCTGCCCCCGTTCCTCTGCTCCGCCCGCCGCCGCCGCTACGCTCAGACATCGTCGCCGTCCCGGTAACGGTCCCCCTCCGCCGCCTCCTCACGAAACAAAACCACGCGAGCGCGCCGGCGAGAGCACACCCCACAAGAGCAACGCCGACCCCGATGCCCGCCTTCGCTCCAGCCGACAACCCTCCCCCTCCGCTGCCGCCTTCGGGGACGGTGGTATACCCCACATCCCCCGTCGCCGTCGGGTTCCCCGCCGCGCACCCGGCCGTCCCGCTGACGACGGTGCAGTGCATGAGGTTATCGCAGCACCCCGCCGCCGTGTCGTCGCACGCGTGCTGCGTGGTGGCCGTACACTGCGGGTCAGCGGGCTTCAGCCCCCCCGTGGCAGATGATGTTACGGAAGCGGAGACCGTGCTTATGCAGCGGCCGCCGGAGACGCAGGTCTGGCCGTAGGAGCAGCAGCCGCCGCCGAATTGGGATTCGCAGCGGAAGGCGGAGGGGGAGGGACAGGTGCGGCCGCAGCAGGCTGAGGATGTCGAGAGGGAGGTTGTCAGGAGGGCGGAGGCGGCGCTCGTGGTCCGCGAGACGGTGGCGGTTACGGTTATCGTTGTTGGGCATTGGTAGGCTGTCGCGGGGCAGTTTGAGTCGCAGAGGGAGCCGAGGGGGCAGCACCATGGTGAGTTGTCGGGTTTCACGTAGCAGTAGTTTGTGTTTGCGCAGCAGGTTTCTGGGTGGCCTATGTCGACGCCTGTTTGGGTGTTTTTAGTTTGATGCTCTTGGTGATGAGTGAGACTACTCCCCTCTTCTTCCTCATGCTTCTAGTATGTAGACACTCTTTGGGGGTAATATAAGGTGAATCCGAAGTCAAGGGGGGACGTCGAGTGAGGATAATGATAACACTTGAAGGAGTTTCGTACTTACAGGAATGAAAGTTCGGGTTACATATACCGCCGTCGCGGACAGCGAGCCGCGGTGCGTCGATGAAGAAGCGCGGAACGATACCGGCGCCCCCGACGGCTGGCGACATGTCGACCGCGGCGTATCTCTGTCTGAAGGCCGCTTTTGTGCCGGTGGCGGCGGCGGCGGCGGCAGCGGCCAGCGTGAGAATCGCGAGGAGCTTCATCTTGTCTGCTGCTATCCCATCCCCCAAGAACGGCAACTTTTGATCGGGACAAGAAAGAGCAACGCCGATTGAAATGCCGAGTTCAATTAGGAAAACATTGCTCTCAATCCACGAGGCTTTGCGAAGGAGAAGATGATAAACTTTCCCGCCAGCCTGCCCTTTGGTGGTGGTGGTGGAAGCCTCGGAGGATGGGGGGATCGTGTGTGTGTGTGTAACAACAGCGAGGCAAACCGCGGCTGAAAGGGAAAAGACGAGAAAAAAACAAGGGACACAGAAACAATGGTAAGCAAACAATTTGAAGAGTGGAGGGGGAAAAGATGACACTGATTAATGTAGGTAAGATGGCAGCGCACAGAAAAGGCTGCTGCTGCTGCTCCTGCTGCTTCCTGCTGCAGCATGCGCCTAGATGCAGGGTAAAGTAGCATACACCCATCATGGGAAATAGAGGAACATGTAAGCAGAAACCACATTTTCCTTGGCTCGGGGGTTATCAAAAGTCCCTTGTGTTCCCTATCTATTCCATCTTGCACTCGCGCGACCTGATTTCAGAATGGAAACCCATGAGGAGGAGGACTGTTCAACTAGAACATCCGGCCTCTCTTTCGGTGAAAGGCGTGGAACGAAACCACTCGGTTTGCTCACGAGTACCGCGTTCGGTACTCGACTCGAAAATGCAGAAACGGAGCGCCAAACTTACTCACTTGCCCCTCTCGATCGCGCGCCGAAAGGGTTCCTCGTAATCCGTCATGGGAAATGATTGGTCAGCCTGTTCTCGCTATCCCATCTTCGTTGGTTCGTTCTTGCTGGGCCGCTGGGTTGCATATTGGGAGACCACCACCACCATCCACGGGCCGGCATCCCCTGTCCCTCGTGGCGACGCAGAACATAGGTATACCTAGCGGCTAGCTTCTCCAAGATTCGCGAGGATGATGGATTCCAGGGAGACTCTTCCAGAGCGTAAGAACTCGGCCAGTATTTTTGCTGCAAAGGAGAGATAGAGAGAGAGAGAGATCGCGGTGGATGTGAAGGTATTCTCCCACTTTGTGAACCCCCCTCGCAGGCTGCTTTATAGTGTGAACAGTACATGCGTGCTCCTATTTGCAATCAATCGCCACGCGAATGGACAATGCGATTGTTAAGAGAAACCAGCATGAGAGGCCCCCAAAAGTCTGGACACCAGCATCAAGGAGAGTCGTATAGGCGCCCCTCCTGGAGCCAGTCAAAGACTAACGAACCAAGTCAAATGTGCTTCGACTTCTTCCTCCGCAAGAGGAACACGAAACTCGACTGAAGAGGAGAAGAGTGATCAAAGTCGAGGGATGAGGTTGAACGACGCCTGTCGCTATCAAGTTTCGAGAAAATAAATAAATGATCGGACAGAAAAAAGTCAAGAATCCAAAGCGGAGTTCCTCAGGCCCGGCCCGCCCGGTCAAGAACACCCCCTTCCCGACGACGGAGTGACGGCCCCAAGCGCCAGGAGAAACAAAGAAGCTCGCCGGGCGCGGCGGGCCTCGACGACACACGCCCGCTAACGTTTAGCGCCCGAAACCCCCACAGTGCAGAAGCGGCAGAATCCCGAGGCCACAGGCGGTCAAGCCACAGAGAACCGAGCCCCCACCAAACGAATCTACCTTTACCCCTCCACCCACCTCCTCCCCTCCGATCGAACTTTCTCCATTTTGAAGATATTCCCAAACGACAAAAAAACCAAACCCAGACACAACTTCCGCCTACGACTCGCGGCACGCACCACCACAACTTCATATGAACCCTGTATCGAATCAATAAAAGAACAAGAGGGGGAGAAAAACAAAGAGGACAGAAAGGAACACAGCAAACTGCCGAAAAACAATTGGAACACCACCCGCCATCCCGATAATCCTCCCAACACACACATCACACAATGACAACAATACCACCACCAGAGGGCGCGGGCGCATTCCCCCTTCCCCCCCTCCTAACCCACCAAACCTCAACCCCGCCAACCCTAATAACCCAAGGCGCAGAAGCCCGCCTCTACCACACAACCCACCTCTCCCCCAACCGCCCGGCAGCCCTCAAATACCGCCCGCCCAAACCCTACCGCCACCCGACCCTCGACGCCCGCCTAACCCGCTCCCGCATCCTCGCCGAAGCCCGCGTCCTCGCAAAATGCCGCCGCGAGGGTTGTCCCGTCCCCGCGCTCTACGCCCTCGACGAGGTGGCGGGTTGGCTGATGCTGGAATGGATCCCCGGCGCGCCGGTGAGGGTGAGGATTAACGAGTGGCTCGGGGAGAGGAGGACAACAGCAGCGATATCAGAAGAAGGAGAAGAAACACCAGAAGGAGGGATGGGGGGTTCAGACGCGACAGCACCAGCACCAGCACCAGCACCAGCACCACCAGCACCCAAAAAGGACCCGACAGGCATCAAAAACCTCATGCGCAGAATGGGCACAGCAATAGGCCAAATGCACAAAATCGGCATCGTCCACGGCGACCTAACAACGTCAAACATGATGCTCCGCCCCCCGAGATCGTCAGACGCAAACGAGAACAACAACGACCCCCTCGACGGCCGAGTCGTCATCATCGACTTTGGCCTCGCGAGCCAAAGCACCTCGGACGAGGACCGCGCCGTCGACCTCTACGTCCTCGAGCGCGCCTTCGGCAGCACCCACCCGCGCGCGGAGGCCTACTTCCAGGACGTCCTCGACGCCTATCGCGACTCGTACAAGCAGGCGCCCGTGACGCTCAAGAAGCTCGAGGACGTGAGGATGAGGGGCCGCAAGAGGAGCATGATTGGTTAGTTAGGGGGACTGGGTATGGCGTTGTTTGGAAACATTTCGAATCCATCTACTTGCGGAGAGGATGGCGAACACATGCACCTACAACAACAAGCTTGCGGAGATTAAAATCAAAAGAAATGTGAGACACATGACGGCATGGAAAAGAAAGTCGAATCAAATTGATACCCATGGAGTATTTCGGCGTGTTTGGCCGTTTCTACTTGATTCGCTACGTCTTCATCCGTCTCCCACCGTGTACATATCCTGTACTTTGTTCAGTCCATCATGTTGGTCCTGAGAGGTGCATTCTGTCTCGATGCCATCTATAATTGCCCCAAAACTTTGATAAAGCCCCCCTCCCCATAAAAAAACAACCCTACGCCAGGTATAAAGTAATAATGCCGTGTGATATAAAACGCCGTGTCATGCTATTATTAGTCGATTTCCATAACGACTTTCGAGACCCAGCTCATTGTGTGTGTGAGCGTTTTTGTCGAGACGCAATATCGGCCGTGACGCGCAAGCATTTGCCCCCAATCTGCTCTATTCCTGCTTCACGAGACACTTTGTCTCAAACCACTTTGCAAATCGCACTGTCGGGATATCAAACAAGCGCCAGAAAACATCGGCGGCCCAAATGACCGCAGGAATGCAGCCGAAAGATCCCAGAACGAATCCGGCATTGTACCACCAGCCCTCGAGGCCGGTGATGGCGTACGCACGTCTCTCAATCATGTAGCCAACGGTGTGCATGACTGGTCCGTGCATGAGGTAAAGTGCGTAGCTGATCTTGCCGAGATACTGGATGGGAGCGAGGTTGAAGAAGCTCTTCCATCTAGGAGAGTGGCCGACGCAAAGAACGAAAATGACAGCTCCGATAGACTGCCAGAATCTGTATCCTTCCTCCGTCCACCACTTGGGAATGAACGTGCAGAGCCAAACCCAACCAGGAGTGATCTCGTAGTTGATGTCAGGCTGGCACATGAAGTAGATGGCAAGAATGCTGAGCATTGCCCAGAAGAAGCCCTTAAGTCGGCTCCCTTGGGGAGCGGCGGTGCTATTTGAAGGAAGGACCGAGGGCTGCGGCACAGGCGTGTTGTTGCCCATGATCTGATCGTATTCCGCCAGCATCATGCCAAAGTAGAACAGCAGCAGCTCCCAACGGTTGTTTCGGTACGTGAAAGCGATGATTCCCGAGAGGAAGAGGAGGCGGAGTCCGGACCGTACGCGAGCCAAGCCGATCAGGGTGATGAACAGGTACATGGAACAGCGGAACTCCACCGGAATTGTCCACAGGTGCACATCATATGCTAAGAATAGTATTAGCAAACCTCAACACACAAATCCTCCAAAACCACTTACATGTGCTGCCACCAAAGCGCTCCCAGCCAAACACGTGGACAAAGTTGAACATGCTCCAGACCCAGTCGTAAAACTGCTCCGAGAAGGTGTCCAGCGGCTTTGGGTGAGGCTCCATAACGTTCTTGTGGAAAGCCCGATCAATGGCAAAGTCTCTAGTCCATTCGTATACTCCAAACTGAAGCAGGAGCATGATGCAAAAGGTCGAGATGGCAGTCGGCATGTACAATCTGATGAATCGACGGAATATCAAAGACGTCGTCGTCACGGAGAATTCCTCCATGTTTCCGGCCCTAGCAAGCTTGATCGGCTTCATGGAAAGAGCGTAGCCGGAAATGACAAAGAACAGGCAGACCGCTGGCGGACCTTGGTAAAAGAGTCGGAAGAAGGGCATCTTGAGAATGTGGTAGTTCTTTTCTGATGAGCCCCAGCCTTCGGCAATGATGAAGGCTTGGTAAAAGTAGTGGCAGAAGAAGACGAAAAGCGCTGCTAAGCCTCTCATGCCGTCGAGATGTGATGTCGGAAACAGCTTGTCGGTTCGGCCTCGTTCTCTGGTGAATCGGCTCTGGATGAAGCTGGGTAGCAGGAAGATGAGGCCGCGGATGACGGTAACCCTCCATGGTATGGCCCGCGTGTAGCCAACTACACCCCGGGCGACGGTCGACCATCGTGGTATCGCAAAACGGACTTCGAGGTCGGCCCTACCGCTCTCGCTCTCGACGTCGGACAACGTCTTCTCGTCTAGGAGTCCCATACCCTCCTCGTGTGAAAGGGACACTTTTGAAGCAGCGTATCCGTTCATTGTCCTGCAATGCAACCGGCGAGCGGGTGGATTTTGGTGTTGGTTGGGTGGGTATAAGGGAGGCTCTCGTGGCCGGAAGGCAGGCAGGTAGGAGGTACAGTATCAAGCAAGCACGGCTTGAACAGGACAGGGCCAGAAGGAATCAAGTAGGAGAGGAAGGGGAAGGTGGAAGAGGGGATGAGGCGGTTTTGATCCGGAAGGCCCTTGTTATTCAGACGATCTGGATCTGCAGAAGAGAGGGGCGAAAGGAGAGTGACGGTCGGCAAGGGCAGGTAAATGTAATTGGGAGCAGACACAGAACAGACAGGGCCTGTGAGAAAGGATGTTTCCCGAGGAGGAGGTACCGCCGCTGGCTCAGGCTGGCTGGGAAGCGTGGGTGTTGCTGGGTGCTGCTGGATGCGGCTGGGCGTGTGTCTTGTCTCGTCTCGTCAACGAGCCCGTGACCTTGACCTTGACCTTGTTGATGGGACCTGGGCTTAAGCAGGATCTTTGGGGGGGAAGGGGATCTAAGACCTGGGATACCTCCGCGACGTAGCAAAGGCGTGGGCCCTTGAGAAGAGGGAATGTGGAGAATGGGTACAGGCACAACAGAGGGAAAGAAAGAGATTGGTAACCGTGAAAGAATGAGAGTAAACAGGTCAAAACGGAAAAGAAAAGGGTCCGGCTGGGCTGAGGTGAGAACGACACGTTGGAAAGCTCAGCGCATAAACGATTCGAGGTTCCCGGTCTGGCAATAAGAGGAGCAGGACGGGTTGGTATCCGTAGGATGTGCCAATGTGGGGTTGATGCCAGGCGGCTGTGACCTCAGAAGTTGAGAAAGAGGTGACTTTCGAGGCGAGCAGAGTTGGGAGAGAGCGTCGGTGGTGTGGGTAGATGGGGGCCTGTTTCAGGGTTGTGCAAGAGTGGGAAAAGGTTCAAGTGTGGTAGCTATGACGGGTTTGGGAAGGGATGCACCATGAGAAAAGACCAGGAAGGTGCAGAGTGCAGTGTGCAGAGTACAAAGGTATCCGTAAATAGGTAGAGAAGGTGCATTCAAAAGCCTCGTGTTATCTTTGTTCCTGTTCGGTCTTCCATGTGTTTCTTGTTGTCCGTAACGGAAGGTTACGTTTATCTTGTGTTTGTGTGTTTGGTGTTTTCGCCTCGGACGGCAAGAGAGACAAAAGAAAAGGTGGAAGGTGGGATACACCCAAGAAACTCTTTCCTTTCTTGATGTTGAGTTTAGAGGGCCCTTGGGACCATCGAGGAAGGGACGAGGGAATGGAAAGGAAGGCACCTGCCCACTTTCAGTCTGTTCGTTCCTGTCTTGTCTTGTCTGACACGGGAAAGGCAAGAATGACGGGACTAATAAACTGTAATTTTGGTTTGATGGATGGGAAGGGAAGGCAACACCAAGTCACAAGTCAACACCACCGCCGCGGGCAAGAAAGGGAAAAAAGTCAGAGGCTCGTGGGTTCGAACCAAACGAAGGATGTGGAAAGGACCCAGCCGAGGCGCAGATGTCAAGCAAGTCAGGAGCGCCGCTGACTGTGCACCAACAACCTCAGACTTTTTCTGCTTCTCTGATGATCGGATTTCCTCTCGACGCGGTGCGTGGTGTGTGTGAGTGTGGTAGGTGACCAGACTCGAATGATGAGCACGGTCGCCGAACGATCCAATGAGCTACATGCAAAAGAAGGGATGAAACGATGGAAGTAAGCCGCTCGCGACAACGTACGAAGAATGACCGAGGCGAAGTTGGCTGATAGAGAGAACAGAGTACCGAGTATGAGTACCGAGTATGTGTGTCTAAACTAAGGTACCCAACGATGAGACGGAGAGTAAAATTGAGAAGGGGGTGGGAGGGAATTCGGGAAGAAACAAAATAGCCTCTATTCCAATCCAATTCAGATTGTTAATTCGACGAGGCTAGAAACGGCAGGTACAACGTTCTTCTTTGCAACGGGTACCTAGGTTTGGGAGCATTTGGTAGCGTTGCCTTCCCATGTGCCAGTCTGCAGATAGATAGATGGCTTGGAAACTTGCAAGTAAAGTTATCGCTTTCAAGAAACATTGGGTCCAGTCGCGGAGACTGGGGCAACTTGGGGCGGGAGATGGAAACGGGGCCGCGTGGTTTCACACTTATATGAAATATCGAAGCACGTCCAAAGAAAGTGGGATAGACTCCAAGAGATGGGCGGGCGGCCGGTAGACCAAAATAAGCAAGGACTGCTCACAAGAATAAAGGGGAAACAAAACGATAAACGATGAGCCTACGAGCCCCGGGAATATCATTTGAATGAAGCGAGACGAAGCAAGACAATGCTGGGAATGCAGCATCGGCAGATCTAATCTGTTTGTTGACTTTGCAATGCGCACTTACTTCAGCTGGCCATTTACTAGGGATGCATACACAAAAACCTGCCTAGCAATCTGAGTGAGAACAACCAAAGTAAAAATAAAATCACGAAAAAAAAACTAAAAAAAAAAAAACTACGAGGATCCAAGACACAGTCGGTATCTGTCCAACGAAGAACAACCCGGTGGATTGATTCTGGAATGGTGCGTAACATGACTGGATATTGCACACTCGTCGCAGTGTCTGAGATACGCAAGCCACGCAGGGTACGTAAAGGGCCTACGGAGTCAATCAATCAATATTGGATCCAGTCCTCCTCTCAAAGTTCGCAATGTCGTCGGCTCTTCTCCAATGGATCCAAACCAACCTTGGAATGATCCAATAGAAGCCTCCAGTCCCCCGATTCCCCTTTCATGGAGACATGGAGAGAGGGATGGGATATCCTCTTTTTTCCTCCAACAAGTGGAACCCCCAGTCCGCCGTGGTGCGCCGCCCATCATCTCCCGCCCCTCCTTCCTCCCTCCCTTCCTGAGTCTTTCCGCCGGGCGCATCACACCTAGACACCTTTCTGCAGAATATTCTCAACGGGGTGGAACGAATGACGGTTCAACGGCTCGTCTGGGCATGACGCCGAACCGACCGGACCGGGGGAGGGGGGCCAAGGTCCAAGGAGAGGAGGATGAGCATTGGCAAGGGTCTCAGGATCCATGGGGAAAAAGGGGATCACTGGGACTCAAAACCTCGAGGGCGGCTCAGAAGGGGAAGATCATAAGATGGAAACGTTCGTAGGGTTACTCTCTGTTCCCGCCGAGAGAATGCCATGGCCGCCCATCAAGCCAAAAGACGGCATCTCAGGACCGATATCAGGTCTCGGCGCATGACTTATCAGGAATCAGAAGCTTCCCGGTACCACTTTTTCGCAAAGAGCTGTCGTAAGCGGACTGGAGTACACAGTATGCCGGTACAGATTTTTTGGCTAGGGAATATCGAGGAATGCCACATATTGGTCAAAAGAGGGCGATTCGATGGGCTCCAACAAATGGAGGTGGTCCAGTTTTTCGGTACTTTGTGCGTCCGTCGGGGTAACTGGCTATGGACACTATGGATGGATGGCGGTGGTCTCAAGGTGTTGCAAACTTGCAGTAATTTCAAGGTTGAGATCGGCGCTTGGATCCACGCTACCGCGCTCGGGAAACCGGGGGCACAAGGCTCGAGTGTTCGAGACGCTGCGACGGTCCAGGTGCGGCGCGGACGGCATGGCACGGCATGCACACTTGCAGGTCTGGAAGTTGGAGTCGCGGGCCAGGTACCGCACTTCGCCAATTCGCCTAGCCAAGGTATCAGTGTGGCACGGTCATGTAGGTACCCGTCTCTTCCAATGAATCTCCAGCTTCCCAACTTCCAACCTCGGCGCGCCTCATGTCGTTGGACTAGCACACTAGACGAGACTTGATGGGAACGTAGGAGAGAGGCAGTGGCGCGCCCAGCGCGTGCAGGCTACAGTACCTACCTTACCTAAGGTATGCATCTCCTCAAGATTCCAGTGGGAATGCAAGTACTCTTGGTGTTCTCCTCCCCCGGTCAGGGGTACAGCTTGTTTCCCGGCAGTCAACCCCTTGGCTTTGTTCCAGATTGGCAATCCGTCACGCAGAATGCATGGCAGGCACCGCACCGCCCGTCCGTCCTGCCGTGCCTGCCACACTTGCCACAGGTACTGCCATGTGCTGCTGTTGGGAGTTTGCCTCAACCGCTATCTGCGGATTTGCGTACTGAACTACTGATACAGACGGAAATAATTTGACATGTATGATGTCTGGGGCAAGTGCTCCGTCTCCCATATCCGATCCATACCAACAGTCATTTGCCAATTCATTTCCCATCCAGTCGCGTAGACGGTTAGGATACCCAATCCGATCAGTCCTCTTCCTTTAGGAGTTTAGGCTCAGTGAGTTGACTCAACTCCGGTTCCTCGGCCTCCTCTATCAGCAATGTGCCAGTCAGCCACACCTACAGAAGACCGCACAGCATTATTCCAGCATACCCATACCCGTAACAGCGAGCCGCCGGGTTTCGCAACCGAGAAGGGGAGAAACCCCAGGCCTCTGTTTTAGGATCCCGTCTCTCTCTCTCTTTCTCTCGGCTCCCCTTAGCCTCTAGGTAGTACTGCGTAGCATGTCCCCAATTAAAATCAAGAACAGACTGACGATCAGCATCCGAAAGCCGAGTCAGACCACCATCCACCAAGTCAACTTTCGGCTCACTGGCTTTCAATAGACAATTACCCCCAGTGCCCCCCAAGAAACCCAGGGGGCCAAGGGAACAGGCGTCCCTGGATCGACGTTGCTCTCGGCTGTGAGACTTCTTCTGATTCTCAAATCCACTGTCCAGACTAGCACGATCCAGTAACCAGTCCCGTCCCCCGGAACAAAAGACTTCTGTGCGGCGCGCCTTGCTGACTGACTACGCTTAATTCTGCTCCGTAGCCCGAATACCTCGCTAAGGCTCGCTCTCGTGAGTCTCAGCTCGTCTCGTCTCGTTTCCTCATGTGATGTAATGAATAGTAGTACACATCAACGTAGCATTGCAGACGCGGGACGCGAGATCTAAAATTGTACAAACAGAAGAGTTAATCCGTGTTTCTTGAACCATGTCGATACTTAGTAATAATACATCTTGCGTGTGGTGTTTTTTTGAGTTTGGAATACAGAGAACCACCCGCCTGACACAAACACGTCGAGTCTGTAGTTAGCCGCAGCCCGAACGTCGTCTCGTCGCATCGTCCCGTTATACCCGCCGTCTCATTAGCTTTTTAGGTATCCTCTACGTCTGACACTGAACCATAAAGGGAGTGTGTCTTGTACAAATATGCGAAACCAACGCCTGCCGGAACCCGTTACATCCCAGCCTATACCACCGAATCCATCATGCCGCTTTCTCCTACGTCATGATAACAATAGCAAAAAACAGTCACATACGCCCAGAACACCTTGCCTTTATATCATCAAGCCATACCGTCCGTCATTTTTAAGTGGAGAGCCAGTCGAGGAACTCGGGGGTGAAGTAGCTGATGACAATGGTCGCACCAGCTCTCAGGATACCTTCAGTCGACTCGAAAGCCATCGCCTTCAAGTCGAAAACGCCAGACTTGGCCGCCGCATGGATCATGGCGAATTCGCCACTGACCTGGTACGCGGCGACAGGCATGTCCTTGCCGAGCTCCTTTGCGTCGCTGATAATGTCGAGATACTGGCTGGCGGGCTTAACCATGATGATGTCGGCACCCTCGCCAATATCACGGACAATTGCGCGGCGGGCCAAGCCACGGCCGCCCGGAGGCAGCTGGTAGCACTTACGATCGCCGAATGACGGGGCAGAGCCTGCGGCGTCACGGAACGGACCGTACAAGCAACCCGAGAACTTGGCCGAGTATGACATAAGCACCGTCTTGTGAGCGATGCCCTCCTCGATCAACTTCAGCTTGATGGCACGGATCCGGCCGTCGTTCATGTCTGAGGGAGCAACGCAGTGTGCGCCAGCGACCGCGTAAGCAATGGCAACGTCGGAAATGCGGTCAACGGACAGCTGATTGTTCAAGCTGCCGTCGTCACGCAGGATACCGCAGTGGCCGTGGGAAGTGTACTCGCACAGGCAGACATCGGCGCAGATGAAGAGCTGAGGGAAACGCTGGCGTATAGCGCGAATGCTTCTGATAACGGGTCCCTCTGGGTCGTCGGCGGCGGTACCAAGAGCGTCCTTGGTCCCCGGGCGCACGGGCACGCCGAAGAGCATCACGGAGCGCAGACCCTTGCGCACAAGCACCTCCAGCCAGGCCATTGTTTTGTTGATGCCTCGGCGGTATTGGCCGGGCAAAGAGGGAATCAGGATCTCCTCGTCGTCTTGGTCGGAAATGAAGAGGGGGTAGATGAGCATTGACTGAAGAGGGTTCAAATCAGCAATGGTTCACGGATAACTGGATTATGCCTTGAGTCGCAGAACTCACCTTGGTCAACTGTCTCTCGGCTTGCCACGAGCGGGCAAGAGGGTGGAAGTAGCCGCCGTGCAGCTGGCTGGAAATGTCACCGGAGATGCTGACGCTTGTCGCCGCTGTGCTAGCATAAGACATGGCACGGGAAACTTGCGACCGGCCATCATCAATGGTAGAGACTGATTGAGGACCTCGGGGTCGGCGCGGGACGCCGGACTCCCTCATGGTAAGATCCTGAACAAGGCTGGAGAAAGACATGTTGGGTTACGGCGTCGTCGGATTGTATTGCAGCTACGAGTATTGAATGAGAGGTTGAGTCGATGTGAGGAAGTGGCGAACAGTTGTTGAAGTGCGAACAAGCAAAGGGGTCGCGGGAGTCGCAATAGGAGATTCGGGGTGGTTGAGGACTTTTCTTTCGCCCGACGGGTGTCGTCAGGAGTTCAATTCGGCGAGAGGGATTAACGACGACGAGAACGACGTTATTTTGGAAAGGGATGACTCGGAAGGTTTGGGGCTGAAGATGGGAGAAGTACGACGGTTGAGGTGGCACAGGAGGGAAGTCAAAAGGGTTCACTGCGCCAGAAAGTTGACGGGATTTGAAACGGACCAGCTTTCCCTTCCCGCTTTGGCAGGCACGGCTGGGACTCGGCAGGAGACGGAGTTGAGCGTGGAACCTTCCTGCCAAGCCGTCCTGGAAATGAACCAATGAGATTGCGCATTGGAGCTGCTGACAGACCAATCACGGTCCAATCTTTTCCAATTGGCCCTCTCCGGTGGCGGCGTCTCCGCTTCAAACGGGACCCTCTTCTCGCATTTTCCGATGTCCGCGTGCGTTCCAACGGCGAAACCGAGTATGTCGTGCCCGTAAGCCGGTCAGCAACTTTCTCCTGCATCCATGAGGGCTGACTAAGATGATCGGGATGGTCAGAAACCTCGGCTGGCGAAGTATTTGCCTTCCATGTTTGTTTGCTTGCAGCGATCTGTATCCGTACCTACTGTTATTCCGAACCGCTGTCTCCTTTCCGAGACATGCTCTGTTAGAAAATTCCCTCCCCTGGCCCGCTGCCCATGTAACGGCAAAAGGCGAAGGGCTGGGCACAAACCTCTTCTCGAGGGATCCAGATCCCAACACCGAGATGCTCCGAGCATCTCCGCAGCTGGCTGCGGCTGGCTGCAGGCCCGCTTCTCCTCCGGTGCCCCTCCTATGCTTCCGTCCCCGTAGTTCGCCCCATCTAGAACGTTCACCGGTCAAAACGGCTGCCCGCAGGCCCCGTCGCCGGCCACGGTGCACTCCGGTGATGGTCGGACGAAGCTGGTTTTAATGTTCATCTTTGGACTTTCTCTTTGCCTGCCAAATGTGATTGTTTCGGATGATTGTTTTACTCATGAACCGCCTTACAAAACTTTCCTATCGAATTTCTACGGGTTAATGGGATAGGCAATATAGCACATGCTTTATGGTTATCCCCTTTCTGTCAGAGTATGTTGAGCCAGCACTTACGAAGTCCAAACCCGATGTTTATTGTCTCTTTGCCAGAATGTGAACAATTCTCCAAGAAGCACATCAATGTCCCAGTGAAGTTGTGCTCCATCTGCCCAAGCCATGTTACGCCCCATCGTCTTACGGTTCTGCTTCATCCCATGGCTACGCTCTTCCTGATGCGAAGCGCCATCTCCGTGTCTCCAAACAGAGTTACCGATACCCAAATATGTGTGTGATTTCGGGCCGAGAATGCTAGATAATGACTCTGCGCAGTCCCGGTTTCCTGCTTTTCTTCAGCGCAATAATCAGCCATGGCGTTCTCATGTCTTGAGGTAAGTCTCCGCCACAGCCACGATCTATGATGTTTACCAACATGACATACAATCGAGATCTCCCAAAGGTATCTTTGAGATTGCTTCGAGGCTATTCGAGTCTCTTTGCTGTTTCCCTGGACGACATGCTGCAACCCCTTTCGAATGAGGACTTTGTTGGGCCTCACCCCTCAACCCAAGACTGAAAGATGGCAACTGCGGATGGTGCAAGTCAGAGGCTTTCAGGGGCACTCAGGTTCACACCCAGACAAAGCCACTGAGCCTATCTTCCGTGAGCTCTTTCAAATTGCGGCTTGGACTCGCCCTCCATGCCGCAGACCGACTTATCGTCACCTGAGGTTTCCAGTGCAAGTCACTGGGCACCCGGGGACCACGCTCGAGTCTCCGCTCTTATCCCCCTGTGGAACAAATCAAACGCCGAACGAAACATAGGGCTTATCTCGGAGGCTCGAAACAGGAAGCCACGACAGTGGCCTTGGTGTTGAGAGGAGGAACGTCCGAACCTTCCCAAGAAAAAATCTGTTCAGTTGGAAGGGCGGTTTCGGTTCGCTCGCCTCTTTTTTTCCTTTTCTGCACCTCACCATCGTGTCCCCCACGTTCGCTTTCCACGATTCCCCAAATTCCTCGAAGCAATCGCAACAATCAACTTGGTCGCCTGTTGCTGGCTTTGGCAACAGTAGATTTCAGGAAAAGAACCTCAATCCCGTTGCAAGGTATGTCAGATCCAGACGAGGCTCTGCCCAGAGGCCGTTCTCTGATTGCTATCAGTGCCATCTGAAGCGCTTCGAATTCGTCAACTTTGGTTCGTCAGCATTGAGCACTTGAGAAGAAATCTTTCAGGTTGGCTAATCACTCACTGCCCAGCTTCGCAGCATCGAGAACCTCTGCAGCATTCGCTTCATTGTTTTTGTCGTTGATTAGCTCTCTTCCCCTAGGACGTTCGACGTCCTATCCACTCCTTTCTCCCAATCGAAAGACGCCTCATGTACGATGAAGAAAAAATCCATGAGCACCCTCGCCAATCTGGCGCCGCGTCGTCGTGGTAAGGGCAACAAGAAGGAAGAGAGAAAGGAGACTCAAAGTAAGTGACAGTTCTCTCGTCTCGTTCGGTACCAGCTGACACTTGGAACAGCTCCCGTCATTCCTTCGCTGCCTGAGAATCGAAGCGGTCCCGCCCATCCCTTCAGTTACCCTGATCCAGGCGGCAACACTGATCAAAATGTCGACCGCTTGGCCAACGACTTGCTGGAGAGTACCATCTATCATCATCCCAACGGTTTGCGCAGTCATCCATCTGTTCTTCTTTGTGGAACTGAGCCGATGGCCATCGCACCTATGATCTCTCCTGATGTGCAACCCAAAGCGCCCTCGACGTACCGGATTGTTAATCTTCCATCGGAGGACTTTTCCGTTCATTGCCAGTCTGACACCCAAGTTGCGGGGACCGACGAGGTTGCTCCGGCTATCCCTGCAAAGTCCTCGCGACGTCAATGTGGCAAGCAAGAGAAGAGCGTCCATGGCTTCGCCGACCCCGAGAATCGTCCTGCGATGCTCAACTTCCCGCACTCCAAGACCACGATGCTTGACCCCGGCAACAGACATCCTCCTTGCCTGCCTCCCTCTACAACGGTTCCACTCTCATACGGCGGATGCAATGACGGGGAGGATTTCTCACGGACTGCTGTCGCCGAGGCTCTTGCCGCCCGGGCCGCCGCCGAACAGGCTGCTCGCATCCAGGCAATCGGCGGCCAGGCTTCCGTCGGAAAGGATCTCGACACCGAGGATGTTCCCGTTCAGATTCTTGGTCCAGAGAACGGTCCTAGATCAGGCTTGATCGACCCCGAATTTGTCGATATCAAGACCGGGGCAATGCTGGCTGCAACTCGAACCCTGAAGCCCCCTGGTTCGGAGAAACCCAAACTTCCTCCATCAAAGACTTCTTTGCTTCGTCGTCACAAGGCTGTCTCCAAGGTTCGCCACGTGTTCGAATCCATCCTGCCTAAGCCTGCAACGCCAGAATCGAAGATCAGGGGCAAGATCTCAGCGCCCATTGGTTTGACCACGTGCGATCTGCCCAACCCTGCGGCGTACTATCACCTCGAGGAAGTCGAACTCGAAGAGACATCTATCGTCAGCTCAATCGAGCTTCGTCTCAATGAAGGCAACAACCTGCATAGCCACAAGGTTCAGAGCATCGTCGGAGATCGCATCGTTCGTAAGGCCGTGGCTGATGATGAAAGCTCGGTTGGCGGCAGCGATTCACCAGAAGATCCCTTCTCGGGAGAGTTTGAAGTCGCAAATCGTCCCCCCACTCCTTTTGAGCATCGCCTCAAGAGTAGCCTTGACTCCACTGGTATCCCTCCGGTTCCTTCTTTGAACCCTTTCGATACTGAGAAGGACTTCGATGCCGACCTTGAAGGAATCTTGTCTGAGAAGCCCGTCTGTGCTTCAACCCCGCGTCGACCCGACCGGAAGGCAGCCTCCGGAGAGAGCCCCTCTAAGCGGTATGCAAAGGCTGACGACCGCCATCTTGCGTCCATCAACGACACTGAGGGAGGCCCTAGTGCTCCCAGCCCGACTCCAAAAAAGTTGAGGCTGTCGGGCGGCTGGAGACTCTTCCGCGATCAGCCTGAGCCCAGCACCAAAAAACACCCATCGCCCAGCAAGCAGGATCTTGAAGTCCTCGAAGATCGACTCCGCGACATGGTCATCGAGAAAATGGAGCAGGAGCCTGAACAGCGGCCAGAATTGGAGGCCAAGTGGGAAGGCGTCCTCGCACCGGCTGCTCTGGGCCCCAAGGATGCGAATGCTGCGTTGATGTTGAGTGAGGGCAAGCAGCCTGTCGCAAAGCCTACTGTCGTTATCGGAGAGGCTAGCGCTGTCTCGCTGCGTCGATACAATCGCGAAGAGTTCACCCGTATCACGACGGCTGGTTCCCGGATCCCTCGTCCTTCTCCTCGGTACACCCCCTACACTCGACCTTCGAACTTCGATGCGCTGGATATTGACGAGTTGCAGTAGGATGTGACCGTCTATGCTCCGAGACGTCGTCGTTTCTAGGGCTCGGTCGCGAAATTTTGATGCGTCTGAAAAAATTGGATCATCTTTGGCGGTACCACTCTATTCTATCGGTTCTTTGCCTGCGGTGGTTCTGGGCAGTTCGACCAAGGACCATCAACGGAAAAGCTCTGGTATCGTTGCTGCCTTCTACAAGCTTCCACAGCTGGCTTCAACAATTTGGAGACAGCCCGCCCGCGTTCTTTTCTGGAATTTGGAAGCGCCAATTCGGCAAACCTGTTGAGTATTTCCGTGGCCAAACATTGAGATGGTACAATCAAGTCACCTGCATTCTTCGATTGGCCCGCCCCAAATTTGTGTAAGTTGTTGCCGTCTCCTAAAATTCATCAGCTAATGTGTCGCAGGAGAATACATCCAATTTCGACTTGGACTGCTTTTCGGATCCGGCTGCACTTTTTCTCCTTTTTCATGAGACTCGAAGAAATCATCAGGTCTCCAGTACTCACAAGCACCATTGGGCAACCTTAATACAAGTCCTACTGCCTTCTTACTAGGCCTAGGCAACCGGTTGCTGTGCGAATTTGAGTGTCAACAATTCGTGGACCGCTTTTCCTACGCGACAGGACAACAGAACAACTCTTCTCTTTCAGACTGTGCCACTTTGTGACCCTACCCGACCCTGGGAGAATCTGCATAAACTGAACCCCAGTAAACCGCAATCAGATTCCCCCATTTGCCGAATTGCATACAAAATGCCACCATGGAGGACGGATGTCACAGTGGGAGGATGATGAATGGTGTGATTGGACGCTAAGGGGGGGAAGCTCAGATAGGTAGTCACAATTCAAATCGTTTCAAGATAACTAGGAAACGTGTCACAGTCTTCTCAATATCAATTGTGCAAGGTAATTTACTTTACTTTGTTTATTTCATATCGTAACACAGACATGGTATCTATAAACCAAATCGCTCTCAACAGTACTAATACAGTAGGTATCCAAAATCCATCATAATCAATACACATAAGAGACTCGCTTGTTGGTATCTATCGATTGATAGGGGGTATTTTTCATATGCTACTGCGCACACACTTAGTAGCGGTGGGCGCGGTGCGAGCCACGACCGTCAGTGCCGTGCATGCGGCGGGTGCCAGCGGCCTTTTGACCGGGGCGACGGGTCAAGGTGCCCTTGAGCTTGAGCATGGCACCGGAGATCTTGTCGCCCATGGAGGGCTTGCGGCGCTGGTGGTGGACGGGGGCCGTGTGGGCGACGGGGCCGCGGCGGCGGGAGAAGAGGCCGCCGCCGGAACCGCGCTTGGTGGTCCTGGTGGTCTTGGTAGTGGTGTGGTGGTGGGTTGTGTGGGCGGGCGCGCGGCGGCGGGAGAAGATGCTGCGGCGGGGGGCGGTGGTGGTTGTGTGGCGGGTGGATCTGAGAGGCATGATTGCGGTTTTTGGGAGTGAAGAGTTTGTTTTTTTAAGTGGTTTTGGTTGTTTGGGTAATGGTGTAAGACTTGAAGTCTTTGGTTGTTTGTTTGATTGAGATCGGGTGGGTTGTTTGGTAGCTTGATGCTGATGATGAGAAGAGGGAAAGTAGATGTAAGTGGGTTTGGAGGGTGGTTTATATGTTTCCTTGGTGGTTCTATTCAGGGTCGCGGTTTTGGAGGGTGACCAGCTACGCAGCATGTCTGTTCCAAGTCAGATGGCGTATGTTGGTAAGGTTGTGTGATTTGGGCATGTCATCATCGCGGGGTGGGAGGTTCGTGAACAGAACAGGGGTGGTTGGGTCTCGCGGGATCAGGGACCCTGTGAGAGGGGATGATGTCAGGGTCCAGGGGATCTACGTTTGTATGTGTATGTGTGGTCTTCTAGTCTAAATCTCCGTGTCTTTACAATACATACTGCGCCAAAGGCGACAAGGCTATCTTCCATTCGTATGAACAGTAGATGTGTGGCATCCTTTGGTGGGATCGATGCGCAAAGGGTCCGAAACCTGCGTCCTTGGTTCCACACTTTGGACCCTATTTTCGTTTCGTGACCCTCCCTCTGACGACAAAAGGAAGATGGGCAAATGGGCATCCGTAAGGAGGGGATAGAGAAGTGTGAGGGTGTCGTCGGACCCTGATTCTGGGAAAGGGGTGACGTCCCTTGCAGTTCATTCCGTCGGGGAGGAGGGGACTGGACATGGGGTACATTCAGACATTGTTACGTAGGAGGAGCCAGGCAGGCTGTATCCGTACATGGGTGATGAAAAATGGCCAAGGCTGGCCAGAACGACAGCTTCGGGGGAGACCTCAAAGTGATTTTGCCCTCCGTTTGTTGTCGCAGCTGCGAGGTGAGGTCAAGGTGAGCGTCCAGCCCCAAGCCCATCAGCCCAAAATCAAGTTTTGGAGGGTCCTGTGGCTGGTGACGTCGAGTTGCGGTCGAGGGAAGGGAGCCCATTGGGTCCAGCCTCATACCCCTGTCTCTTGCCTGCGCCAGGGGGTAGTAGAATTGTTGATTCCGCCAATTAGAGTTGTGGCACATGCGAAGGTGTGGCTGACCCGGTAAATCAAGGTTCCTACCTTATCAAGGTACCTTATGATGTCATGCGTAACGGTTGGTTCGTACCACAGCAGATAGGTGTGACAAGTCACACCTTTACGGACGGGTCTGGACCCAAACGGTTCTCTTCAGTTTCTTGTTTTCTCCCCCAGTTAATGATCAAAACGTAGATAGACTGGGTGACTGGGACGGTCTGACCTTCCCTCTTTGTGTGTATCACACTGGCTGATCTCAAAGGTTAGTGTGTTGTTGGACGCATCGTTTGTTGGTGTGAGAAAAGTCGCAATGGGGGAGGGAGTGATAGGCATGGGGGATTTGCGGCCGCTGACGACGGTTTGGCTGTGTACTTCTCACACTTTCAATCATTCGACGTCAGTTTTTGCGGGTTCGAGCCTTCTCTGGCCTCTTGTTTGGCCACGGATTCGACTCCCCCGAGCGAGGTCAAGAGAATCCTCTCGGGTCTGGGATGAGGTGGAACGGAACATCACTGAGGGGAAATGACATAGCTGGTGGTCTTGGAACGGTGATCCCCTTGATGGTGCAATTTGTCCGGTCGTCAGACGCACGGCTCCTTCTCGCTCATGTGTCGGATTTTCTAGGCCAAGGAAGATAATGATGTTGGGGAAGTAGAGAGCAAATGCTTGAAGCGCGGAAAGCGATGCTGTCAAGGCGCCCACGGTGCCGCCGTCCCCAAACCTTGTCCAGGTCTTCCTGCCACTTTGCGTATACAGAGATTTGTTGCCATCCTTTTCGGGAAATCTTATCCTCATCAACGCTCCTGTCCATCTGTCTGCAACGTCTACAGCCAAGTAGTATATGGCTTGGCAGAGTTGGCTCCTACCACCGCAGCGAGGACCGCAGTGAGCGCGGTGAAAAAGAGCGACTCCGTGCTGGGCCTTCCTCGTTCGTATGGGATTGTTATGCAGGCTATTCTCCTGATATGGCCATGGGTGGAGGTAAGATGTGGGCTAGCAGATTACGGTGGTATGGTTTCCGCCAGTTTGAGACACCCTTCATACCCTTCACACTTCCATTTGCAATGATGAGAGGGGTTGGTTCAGTGGAACTGCGGCTTACTTCCTGCGCGAGGGAGAATGACCCAGCGCGGCAGTATTGCTTTCCTTACATCGAGGACATCACCATCGAGGTAGCTCACCGCGCCACTGAACCTTCTGAGAGATTGACTGTATTCTTGGTGCCTTGAAAAACCTTGAACAGCACATGGTTGCCATAGGCTCCGACCATCAATACAGTCCAAGATTACGCCGTCTAGTCTCCGCGCCCAGAAAGGTTATCCTTGATCCTAGCCAAATCGTCGCTCGAAAACCCCAAAGCCCCAACGACGTACCCCTCCCAGCCGCCATGCGCTTCCTGCAATGCCGCGATAAACGCATCCCAGCACGACGTCCGCAGGCTGCACAGGTTGTAGAAGCCTGGGTGCTGTTCGAAAGTGAGACTACCGCCGCCGGCACGGGCCTGCTGGAGGAGCCGCTCCCTCGCTGGCTCGGTGCCGACGCGCGAGAGCATGTAGTCGAAGCGGACGTCTTCGGGCGCGGTGCCCGCGAGAGATTGTAGGAGACCTGCCATCACGCCGGTGCGGTCTCTTCCGGCTATAAGGGGGTTTTCCTATTAGTTGGGCTTGGCTGGCGGCCACGCGCCGCAACAGTATTTGGCCTTCTCTCCATTAGAATGTCCAGGAAAGGTATACATACCGGTACAGTGAAAGAGAAAAGATTCCTCGGGCTTGTCGCGCACGTGCTCCAATATGGCTCGGTAGATCGGCCGGTATAAATCAAGGACCTTGAGATACTCCTTCCGAAGTCCAACTTCGCCCCCGGCCTCGACAAAATCATTCAGGTCAGGCGGGGTGTGGGCGCCCGCACTTTCGAGCCATGTGTTTGCAACTCCTGCGATCTCTGGATCAGGATGCTTCCCGCGTTCCGCAGAGCTACGAACGTCAAAAACCTGCTTCACGTTGGCGGCCAGCCAATCGAGCGCCTCTGGGTTCTGGTTGGCGACTTCGAGCATGCCGCAGCGGTAGACGAGACCTGGACGGACGCCGGAGCCGGGCACGGCACCAAGGTCGCGGATGTTGATGAGCTCGGGGACAGGGAGGAAGGGTGGCGTGCTCAAAGCCTGCTGCAAGAGTTCGGAGGGGATTGGGTCGTGTACGTCTCGCTCTGTGAGAGCTTCTAGCTGGTCTCGGGTCATGGACATTTTGGCGATGAACGAGCTTTTTTATTCTTAAGTTGGAAGAGAAATGAGGATACTGGCAGTATCAAGATAGGATATCTCAAAGGAGGAGGAGAAGACTATCTTTGAGTCGACTGTCTGTTGTTGGCGGTGAGGCAGACGGCAGCCTGGGGCAGGCAACATCTGCGCCCTTCAATAATTGAACGGAGGTTGTTGGAGTAGACGTTTTGGAGTTGTAAGCAGTCCTGTGTAAGACGCGGACAAATGTAGCCCGCCCCCGTTGAAACAAGCTTCTTGAAGCTTTCTGGTGACAGGAGCTAGTGTTCATTCCACGAGACCGTCATGTGGCGCCAAGCCCCGAATATTGAGGTCTAACTATTGATATTACCGTTTGCGGACTCTGCACATAATGACAACGCCTCAACGTTCTGTGTGGCGGCAGTTTGCAGCAACGGGGATCTTGTAAGGGGCATATTAAGCCGTTTGCCCGCAGATGCACTTAAATTCCCGTGGCCAGATTCCTCCCTCAAATCGTGGTGCATAAATGGCATGTCTTTTGCCATGAAAGATGTTGGACATTCAAGGACACTGGGTGATGAAGTTAAGGATACTGGTTTAAAGAAGTATCCCTGAAGCTCTCATCCCTGCTTCCCCATGCCTGATAAGATAACATCTCCTTATCAAAGATGGCGATAAGGATATCGACTTTCCACACCGAATTTCAGGACGTTGTCTTCCAACAAAGCAAGCCATTTGACTCAAATTGAGACACTAATTACCTCGATGAGTGGCTAGAATTTCAGCATCATGTCCTCGAATCCGATTTTGAGGTGGGGACTGGGCCTCTCAGCCGCCGCGGCCGTGGTCGCAATCGCCGTCGTGCGCCTCCAGCAGCCCCTCTTAGGCGACATCGATGACACCCAAACGTACTGCTACCAAGGCATCCGTACGCACGACGAAGACCAGCCGTCAGCCCAATGCTTCACTGTGGCCGACGGCAAATTCACCCGTGTGTTCCCATGGGATGATGCAAGCTTGACCACCACGGCTGGCTTCGTCATCCCTGGTCTGTGGGATGGCCACGGTCACCTGAGTCAGTATGGCGAATTTCTCTACTCGGCCGATCTGTTCGGAGCCTCTTCTTTGGATGATGTTCGGGATCGCTTGAGGGACTACGTCGACAGCCATCCCGATGCCGGCACCAAGAATGAATGGATTCGAGGGATTGGCTGGGATCAGTCGGCGTACGGACGAATGCCGACCGCTGTGAGTCCTCTTCACCCCTCTCTGCCCAGTGATGGGTCTAATTCCCGATCAGAAAGACATTGAGGAAGATGAGCTTCTGAAGGGCAAATACTTCATGCTCGACCGGATAGATGTCCACTGTTCATGGGTGTCACAAGCTGTGCTCGATCTGTTGCCTGCAGATCTCCCAGACGTGCCTGGCGGTGAGATCGTCCGCGAGCCAGGCATGGGCGTCTTTTGTGACAACGCCATGGACCTGATCTACAACTTGTGGCCGAAGCCTGGACCCGAGAAGAAGCGGGCATTCATTGCAGCCGCCATGGCCAAGTTGAACGAGGTCGGTCTGGTTGGTATGCATGATGCCGGCGTCTTTCCGCAAGAGCTCGACCTGTACGCCGATATGGCAGGCACGGACGACTGGACTGTCCGCGTGTATGCCATGTTGGAATGTGCTCAGCGAAATACCTTCTGTCCCGAGGACGCTGCTCGGGTGTTCCGTGAGGATGACTCGTTCAGCGTCAAATCCGTCAAGCTTTTTGCAGGTATGTTTTCTGAAATGTTTGACATGAAAAGGCCCACTGAGACTAACGTTTTCCAGACGGCGCTCTTGGAAGTTGGGGAAGTGCCATGATCGAGCCATACAGTGATCGTCCCGATACCGCCGGCTCTCTTCTTGTCAACGGATCGACTTTGAAACAGCTTGGACGGTCCTGGGCATCCGTCGGATACCAGGTCAACATCCACGCCATCGGTGACCTGGCAAACCGCTACGCCGTCGACGCCCTCGAAGCTGGCCTGCGAGATGTATGCCCCGGTGAGAACCTCGCAGATTGCCAGGCCCGACGACGATTCCGCATCGAGCATTCGCAAATCATCCACGAGGATGACCAGAAGAGGATCCATGACATCGGTATTATACCATCCATCCAACCGACGCATGCGACATCCGATATGAAGTACGCCGAACTACGACTTGGGGCAGAGCGCACCAAAAAAGAAGCGTACCGGATGCGGTCACTCCTGGACGTCCACCCGATCCTAGGCAGCGACTTCCCCGTCGAGCCGCCCAATCCCTTCCAGGGTATCTATGCTGCCGTCGCCCGCAAGAGCCCCCATACGGGTTACGGCGTCAACGGAAGTGAAGATGGCTGGCATACCGAGGAGGCTCTAAGTCTCGACGAGGCGTTGCTAGGGTTCACCAAGGGCCCGGCCTACGGTGCCTTCATGGAAGGACGAGCCGGCCTCATCAAGGAGGGCGCGCTGGCTGATTGGGTCGTGCTGGACCAGCCTCTGGAGGACTTGGACCTTGACGAGCTGCGGGAGCTTAAAGTCAAGGAGACCTGGGTGGGCGGGAAACAAGTCTACGTGCGGGACTATGAGTGACGGGCTACCAAGGTTCACGATGAATGATTTTTAAAAAGTTCTCTCGGCTTCGTTCCATACTTACCTACTCTGACATACTCAAGACCGCTTTTATTAGGGGATCTGTCTACGCCAACGACTTTTTATGCCCAAGAGATATGATTCCATCAACACAACTGAGACCGACCTGTGCTGTTTTCTCATTACATTCGCTTTAATCGTATGGATGGCTCTGACTGGCCTAGTCGAAAGATAGAAAGGTAGCCAGAGGCATTCGAGACGAAGTTTTCTAGGTTGGTACCCATCTTATCCACCGTCCATCTCACACTCCAGTACTATATGGACAACGAGGCACACGTATGACTTGACAAAATCATACACCCTCCTATCGATTTCCGTGGTTCTTCTTAAACCTGTTTTTCACCGGAGATTCTGTGAAAAGCTTCTTCGCGGCGGAAATGGCAATTCTGTTCAGCCTCTGATATTTGCTTCTGTTATTGACTCTTCAAAGCAGGACTGTCGACGATCTTCAAACATTAGTATCTACGAGATACATTGGAGAACTCTCCCCATCCACAACGAGATTACCCAAGACGGTATCGAGAAACAGCCACGATGCCGTCAACAATGTCAACCAACAGCGCGACAGCCGCCCGAGCCTGGAGCATATACATAATTGTATTCCTGATGCTCATGGTCTTCTCAATGACCTTTGGCGCCTCCATGGTGCAGGTTTCCGTCCAAGCATACCTGCGAGAATCCATCTGCCGGCAACTCTACGGCTTGCCCCAGAAAGTTCCCATCGACCACGGTCTATGTCACGCCGACGCCGTTAACAAGGAGTTCGAGTGGACCGGTGTCGTCGTCCTGGTCTGCCAGTCCGCCGGCGGCCTCCTGTCCGCCTACACCATGGGCAAATGGGCCGACGTCAATGGCCGGCGCGGGGCTTTTGTCTTGAGTGCCTGCCTCTGGGGCCTCTTCTCCGGCATCCTCATCACGACTATTCAGACTTCATCACGTGGCGTCCTGTGTTTCCTCTTCTTCGTCATCGGCGCTGGGAAGACGTCCGCCGAGGTCGCCGTCTTGGCCATGACGAGCGACACCACCAACGACCAGCAGCGCTCGAAACACTTTGGCCTCGTGGTGTCTTCCGCCCTTGCCGGGCTTGTGGTCTCGAACGTCATCCACAGATATGCTCCCCCCTTGGCCCTCGAATATTCGGCTGTGATCGGCT